TCGAATTCTATAGAATCAAAGAAACCTTTTCAAATAGTTTGCGGCAAAATTGATGAATGTGGGCAATTTGACGTAATTGCCACTTTTATAAATTACGAAAAGAAAAAAATTCGCGTCCTAATAGAAAGGAGTCAATTATAGAGCTCCACGAGTTGTTACTTTTCGAACATAAGTTTTAAAATATTTTCTTAATGGACGACGAATAACAAGTAGACACACGCCGACAATATTTCAGCATCTCATTGATAGTTTGGTAGAAGTTCTTTTTCCATTCTTTTACATCTTCTTCTTCAGCTGCCTATCCACTACTATTGGATGTTGGCGATCACATTTCCGTATGCTACCCTGTCCATTGCTGTATGTACAAGGTCCCCGATATTTTTCAAGCCAGTCCATTCCCTCAGGTTTCTAAGCCATGACATTTGTTTCCTTCCTACGCCACGCTTGCCCTCTATCTTACCCTCGACGATTAGCTGGAGAAGCCGATATTTTGGGTTTCTCATTATGTGTCCAAAATAGGCCGTTTTTCGTTTTTTTATGTGTAATAGAATTTCTCTGTCTCTGCCCATTTTTCTCAAAATTTCCTCGTTTGTAACCCTTACGGCGGTAAGTCCACATCTCAAACGCTTCTAATCTATTAATTGATGTTGTTTTGAGCGTCCATGTTTCCATACCATATAATAGAACAGACCATATATAGCACTCGACGTATCGTCCTCTTAGGTTCAGGCTTGTGTCTCTGTTGGTAAGTATATGTTTAAATTTGAGAAAATAGCTCCGGGCTATTTCTATTCTGGCTTTGATTTCTTTGTCGTTGTCCCAATCGTCATACAGCCAACTACCCAAGTATCTATATTTCTTGACTCGTTCCAAAGCCATTCCATGGACGACGAGTTGCGCATTTACATAAGGCACCCTGTCCCTACTGATTATCATAAACTTTGTTTTATTACTATTTATGTTTAGTCCATAGTTTTTACTGGCGTCGTTTAGTAGAGTAATCAGTTGTTGTAAGTCTTGGATATTATCCGCTATCGAGACAGAATCATCCGCGTATCTAATGTTATTCACATATACTCCATTTACTTTGATTCCGATGTCCTTATCTTCGAATGCTTCGCCAAAAATGGCTTTTGAGTACACGTTAAACAAAAGTGGGGACATGATGCATCCTTGTCTCACTCCACTACGTATTTCTATATCTTGTGTTTTCAGTTCGTTTGTTGTTATATGTGCAGTTTGATGCCAATATAGATTTTGAATGCAGCGAACATCTTTACCATCTACATCCATTTTTTTTAATATCTCGATTAGTTTTGTGTGCTGCACTCTATCAAAGGCCTTTTCGTAATCAACAAAACAGAGAAAGACGTCCTTTTTTACATCGCAACAATTCTGAACCAGTACGCGAATACTGAAAAGAGCCTCCCGCGTCCCCATTCCACTCCTAAACCCAAATTGTGTGTCTTTAATACTGTCCTCACATTTTCTATATAACCTGTGGTGTAAGACTTTAAGAAATATTTTTAGTGTATGGCTCATCAGACTTATTAATCGATGTTCTTTGCAGCTTTTTGCATTTCTTTTTTTAGGTAATGGAACGAAGGTAGACCTTAACCAGTCTGTGGGGTACCTGCCAGTGCTGTATATCTTATTGAAAACAACTTCCAATAAAGACAGGTTATCATCGTCTATTAGCTTAATGATCTCGGCTGGCACTTCATCTGGTCCGACTGCCTTGTTATTTTTTGAAAGTTGTATCGCTTTACGAATTTCCTCTTTTGTTATCGGTGGTCCACTCAACGATTCACCCGCGGGGTTAATTTCGAGGTCCGTTCTCTCACTGTCTTGGAATAGTTTTCTTATGTATTGCTCCCACATTCTTCTTCTTTCATCCTTTTCCAGGATTATCTCGTTTTTGTCGTTGACTAGAACTATTGGTGCCTTGGTTTTATATATTCCAGCTACCTCCTTTAGCTTTTTATGTTCGTTATGAGTATCATGTATCTGTTGGAGTCTCTCTATTTCTTGGCATTCTTGTTCTAGCCACTTTCTTTTAGCTTTTCTGATTTCAGATCTAATTCTAGAATTTAAAAGACTATATTGATCAGGGTTTACATTTTTATGTTTACGTCTCTCGTCCATCAGTCGTAGAATTTCCTCTGTCATCTATTTGTTCTTAGGAACAGACTAACGGTATTCTAGTATGTTCTGAGAAACAGAGTTCATGGTTTTCTTCAAGCTATCCCACATATTGTCGACTTGATATTCTCCAATCGTCTCTTGCAGTCTCGCCAGTCCATCATTTAATTTTTGTTGCAGAGTCGTCCTTACTTCTTCGTTTTTTAGTTTTTCAATAGCTAACTGAGGTTTTCGTTGCTGTCTCTTAACAAGTGAAAGCTTTACTTTATAGGAAGCCAAAAGAAGAACGTGATCGGATGGCACGTCGGCGCCCGGGTATGTACAGACTCGCTTGAGTGATGTGCCAAATCTCCTGTTTATCAGTATAAAATCGATTTGATTTCTAACGATGTTATCCTTATTATCCTGAGGTGATCTCCATGTATAAAATCTTCTAGGGGGTAACGAAAACCAAGTGTTTGTTATTTTAAAGTTCTCTTCCTGGCAAAATTGTACCAGTCGATCTCCCCTATGGTTTCTATCACCCAATCCATATGGACCGACAATTTGGTCTGCTTGTAAAGAACCGATCTTCGCATTGAAATCGCCTTGTATTATATTGATTTCGTGTGGCTTGGTTAACCCTAGAAGTTCCTTGATCTCGCCATAAAATTTGTCCACTTCGTCATCGCCTCTATCGAGAGTTGGGGCGTACACTTGGATTATGTTGATGTTAAGCGGCTTTGTTCGAATTTTTAATAACATTGTTCTGTCTGAGTAGGGGACAAAGGCAGTAACACTTCCAGCTATTTCTTTGGTGACTATGACCCCTACAATTCTTTTACATAAACTATTAAAATTTTGAAAAAGTTGCAAACATGAGCGCTACTGGGATGAGTAATGTGCATGTTGATGCTGCAGGGCTGGGTCTATTGTACCCCATGGTGCCATATACTGTAGTATGGTCTCCTTAGGTGAATTTACTTGTATATAAAAGCAAATGCTACAACGTACAGTGACTCACAGCTTAAATGATGCAGTCCCTATAACAAAAACTAACTGACTAAAACTAAAGACTCTTTATTTATTTGGCAAAACTTATTGAAAGTAAAGAGCCTTCTAGAAAAGTGTGAATTACTATTTGTCTTAAATATGCCTTACTTGGTCAATAATAAAGAATTAATAAAATTATATGCAATATTAACGTCACAGCTTAAATGATGCAAAAATAATAACCAGGGTCAAAACTTATCCGTTTGAAATTTACCAGCGCGGCGTGTCTTTTATTTATTACTGCAATTGTTTTTTGTTTAGTTTGACATTTTAAAACACATGGTCGTTCAGTAAAACGATTTTTTTTAAATGGGTCGTCGGACTGCAATTTCTAAAAATAAGCCTTTCATTAGCTGAAGAAATAGATGAGTATATCGATAGAAATTTGAACTTTTGGAGTAATATTTGCCGATGAGACCAAAATAAACTTATGTGTATACCAATATGTGTATTTGGATATATTAAGACAGCATCTGGTTCCTAGTGCCTAAGAATTAAATATGGGTAACAATTATCGGTTCTATCATGACAATGATGACGCAGTTGCTTCCTTATAACTGCCCAAATGTTATTAAGACACTAGCCCAGTCACCAGACTTAAATGTAATTGAAAATTTGTGGTTGTCATTAAAAAAAAAAGTAAATAGTGCCCCAATGTCTAACAAGAATGAATTAAAAATAAAAATTACTGGAGTATGGAAAACAATTTCTCCACAGTATACTTTAAAATTAGTTGAATCAATACCCAGAAGACTACAGGCCGTTATCGATAATGACATAGGCCCGACTAAATATTAGCAGGCGTATTTCAAATTATTCTGTTGTTTTTCTCTATTGATTTGGTTATATTTTGTTTTGCATTATTTAAGCTGTGACGTTAATATTGTATTTAATTTAAATAGTTCTTTATTGTTAACTAAGTAAGGCATATTTAAGACAAAAAGTAATTCACACTTTTTTAAAAGACTCTACTAACTTTTAATTTCAATAACTTGTTTTTTTTTTTCAAATAAATAGACATTCTGACCAGTTAGTTTTTGTTATATCGACTGCATCATTTAAGCTATGAGTTACTGAATGTGCATTTTGATGAATCGCATTTCGCTATATATTTATATGAAGCGGTCTAAAAGCGCCACAAGAAATTGTATACTGGATGTCCTACTACGGGCAATGAGGTGTTAGGAAAACGAAAGGTCTGGAAGTTTGAAAAAAGTTTATTAAGTAAATCGATGAGCAAGTGCTGAATATTATTGCCACTGAAAACGATTAATTGTAAGAACGTAATAATAACATCAACACGTTGTTGAGTAGTCAAGCTCTTATTTGATACAATGCAATGCAGTGACGTAGAAAAAGTCATGTATAGAATTTTTTTTTCAGAAAAATATTTTTTGCGATTATATCAGCAAACGCCATCTGGTGGCATTCGTACATTGACCAAAGAAATTTTTGAGTTTGTCTTAGCTTTACGACATTACTCACTCTAATTATCATTAGTAAAAAAAATACATAAATAGAATTTTAAAAATCACGGTGGCAATTACTTACGCCACAAAAAGAAAAAGGTTTCTAGCACTGTCTTTTATCCGATTTGCTTGATAAACTTTGGGCAAAATATCAATTTATCAATACAATATAGCAATGGCGAGAGCACGCACGTCGTGGATCAAAAATGCCTGAATTCAAACGTATGTTCCCATCAAACAATCAAACGAAAAACAAATTCCGCCATATCGCCTGTCGACACTATCGCGCGTTGCTTATCTACGAAAATAATCAACCTATGCGTTCGCGAGCGTATGCAAAAATATTTTTACACTCACCAGTGTTGCTCCGGTATTCTCCAATATATCTTCGCGTGAGGTAACGCACCGTCAAAGCTGGAAATGAAAAACGTAAACATAAATTTCGAAAAAGAATCCAAGGTTAATCTAGGCGTTAAGTGCTTACAAACACACTCCGCCTCTACTACCACATTAATTCGTCCTCAACCCAAAACGCGCTTTTTTTATAAATGTAGGTCGTATAGCGGTGCAGGTTCAACATAAACAAAATAAGAAATCGGAATTGGGCGGCCCGTAATGATCACTATCTAAACGTGTTGTCTGGTTGATGAATTTATTAGCTCGGATTTTGTTTCCGCTATGCTGCTGGTATTTCACACCTCTTCCATCTTTACGTGTCAAAACAAAGGCAGATTGTTGCTACCAAGGCATTCTCCATTTGCGATTTCGTAATAAACAATCAAGAATCTATGCGCGCGGAAATTACTATAATATCTGCCTCTACGTTTAGCAGATGGTTAAATGTAAACCGAGACTAAATAAAGTTCTCTAAAACAGAGTGCTACGTTTTCCTCTCGATTTCCGTTAGCGGAGTTGATTCGATAATATTTTTCTTCAAAAAATACTGGGGAAAGATTGATAGTAAGAAAGATAAATATTAACAAAAAGATAGCTCTCAGGTGTTACAGTTGCTGCTTTTCTCTCCTGCTAAGTACCGTAGGTTGTGATCCTAGAATTTAACGTTTAACTAACTGGTGCTACCAAAACGGATTTCATTAATTATCTTCATTAAATTCATCTGGTATGCAGAATAATATGCTATTGACTCAGATTGTAAGACATTTAGCTTAGATATGGTTGTGTCACTGCATATCTATGCACTTTTTCCTAGGAGAACCACTCCATTGATTTTATTTCTTGTACTAATATGCACAAATCTTACACTTCAGAAAACAGTCCCTGATTGAGAGTGGATCAAGTTTTGCTGATGCATATTCAGAGATAATTACTATTTACTAGTCTAGTTCTTGAGCAGTACCTTTATGAGTTTGGAATTAATTGAAAGATTTTATGTTCTCATAGTTCCTGCCGTTTAACAATATACTGGTGCTAGCAGCCATATTTGTTTGCACATGCCTCGTAAAATTCTGCAATTAAGCAGCGATACTTACGTCGTATCCACGTGCTCCTATAATAATTTTCCAACATTAAGAATTATTATGTTAAGGTTATTGAGTTGAGACTTTTTTCTGAATGAACATTAATTAATTGTGTTTACGTATGCCAATTTCCATGGCGAGCGGAATTATTACGGCCTACTTACAACGGAAACATAAAATTACTTAAAGCCGTATTCTCGATATTTCCGAACGCTCTGTTTTTGTTTACTCCTTTTAATGGTCGCAAACCGCGTGGCTCTTAAATACATCAGAATCGACGATGTAAGTCTTTCTTCAGATCATACAAGTCTCATAATTCAAAATTTTATGGCACTGCAAACGGGCCACTAAAACCGCTCGCTATTAACCTACTTTTAACAACGCAGAAATTAATAACGAGATCAAAAAGTGCATACCTGATTTCCCGACGCTCGATTTTCCGATGACGGCGATCCTGGCTTTCGGCAATTCTTCGGTTTTCATGATCTGCAACATCAAAAACGAACGGTTACCGGGATTATCACGAAATCGTCATCGTTTACGCCAATCTTTAACGTCAACATTATACGCCAAACCGAAGCGTATCTTATCAGTGTTAATGAAAAGCTTCTATGAATATCATAAAAAGCGCCGAAAAGGTAAAGTCAACATATGCACGCATGTTTCTCCACGTAGAGGCGTGATACTTATTTATAGAATGTACCTAATAAAATGTTTCTTGTTTACCAGATTTTTTAGGATGCACGGTGAATATTATGTCTCCCCGTACACGATTAAGCGAATGCTCGATTTAGAGTCACCGATCATTAAGCGCAATCTTCCTTACCCAATTTTATTGTATCTTGGATCTATAATTCCTTTTGTTTACATACAATATTGTACATTTATATTGTACAGGTGTCATTTCGTTCTAGCACAGTAGAGCTCATCGGTAAGCCTGTTTCGCCAGGCTTATTTGACATCACCTCTCCAAGACCGTCTTTGCCTTTCTCATTTGCTCCTTGTTTGTCGGGTCCACTTCAGTCATTGTTTCCTATTCACCTTCAGATGTCAATACCATTTCAAGGGTTCCTCCATTTCAACTGTTTGACTTTATCGGTTATCAGTCTTCATTTCTCACTTTATAAAGTCGAGTCACTTTTTATTCTTCTTCTTCTTAGTCTTCGTGCTCTCCAGTAAATTGTTTAATTTCATGTTACCTTAAGTATTAAGAATATAAAATCTGTAAGAACCTTGATGGTCTCTTCCAGGTCAATACTTTTTTCTTTTGTAGAGAGTTTGTTGTGGTACTTGCACAACTTCCGTGTGACGTTGCCCACGTCAACTAAACTGAAAAATTTAGGAGTAATATTGGATAGTAAGCTCTCTTTAAAGTTTAAAACCATTGTTCAATACAAAAATCACATCGAAGTGCATATGCAGCGTAAAATTTGTTTCGGTTTGTTTCTTCTTCATTCATCATGCATTATATAAAACTTTGTTTTGTTATGACTAAAAGACTTCTAGCATCCAACTTCAATGGACGATTTCAATGAGAAATACTCGTACTTCAATTGTTATTACGGCTTTACCCTGTATAGCAATTTTCCAAGTTCAAGCGTGTATTTAATATCGTGATACTCTGACAGATCGGTTCATTAACATCTAAAATTAAAGCAGACCCCTTCTCGCTGTCTTTTCGGAAGAGTTCAGGGTAACGATAAGCAAATAAATTTCGAAAACGTACGCGGGTATTGTGTTGAAAGCGTATAAAGAATTTATAAAACAGGAAGTTCATATTTTCGAGCGCGATGCCCGTTTTTTTTTGTTTTGTTTATTTGTTTTTCATTTTCCTCCTTGTACCTCAATGTTTTATTCAACAGGTTATTGGCTTCGCGTCGCTCGGAATGGCGATATACCTGACGAAGGTAATGCGGACCGACATTTTTTGGACGTGCACTTAATGATTCCGTTTCGATTGAAGCGCCAACGAGCTACGACTCGTTTGAACTTGTTTGCGGCATAAAGACAATTGTTCGATATAATTATCCGGACGAAGCCAAAGTTCGCATCTGGTCTGCGGTTTGGTTCGTATAACTTCGCAGTAAGCTTTTGTTGATCGAAACTAACTTAATTATGTCACGCGTATATTGACAATTACGTGAACGGTGCACGGGAAATTATCTAAGTTCTAAAGTTCAGCAAGGTATAAATATAGAATTCAAATTAAAGCAGCGGAAATTTTCTTTGAGTTATTAAAATGTCAAATGAACTAATTAAATTGAGGAGAAATCGCAAAAATCGCGAAATCTTCTGGTGTTGCGATAAACTCCCATTCCAACGCTCTTCACCAAGGTTCGCTTATACTCTGTTTTAGTACCCACTGATTACACCTCTATAATATTCCTATTAGAATTTCAAAAATCTTTCTCATTTCTCATTGACTATTGAGGAGGTGAGCATTTGCATTTCAAAGTAATGACAGTAATTTGCAAGCTCGTATAGAACAACCTTGAAACCTTGCGATCAGTCATGTAGACAAACAGTCTTGAGTCAGTCTTGTTTACGCCAGCCCACCAGCTGAAAATGCGATTTTTCGAAATAGTGCAAACCTCACTCTAATACCAGCTGCTATTTTTTTTGGTACGTACACTTGAAAAATCATAAATATATGCAGAGTGTTCCAAATAAGAATGCTAATCCATTGGACTAGAATAATACAATTCTGCAAGTGACTTCAGTTAAACGCTTTGTTTTCGAAATAAGGGTTGTCGGAGTGAACTTTTTAAAATGCATTTCTATTTATATATCCAGTGCGTTTTGGCACACCCTTTTGAAATTTAATGGCATCTAATATAAATATAGTTTTTATATTTATGTCGCCATCGTAGAAAAATTCTCGGCGATCACTCCATCCCATCAGCTTCAATTCAAGCATTCAATTCTTGCGAAACGTACACCATAAAACCCAAAAATAAAGGCGCGGTTCCATTTTTCAAATCGTTTAACGCGTATGTTTAACAACTCATAAACGTCCAACAATTACAAAAAAGTTCGTTTATCCCGAAACATTTTTGCACGCGGAAATGTGCATCAAAAAGTAGGTAATGCAGATATAAAACGTCTCGTTATCGCCGGTCAAGAGAAGGGGGAGGTTCGAGGATCGCGACGACATTTTTTTTATCCCGTATTGTCTTTGGCGTCACGTTATTTTAATCCAAACGTCACATTTTCTGGCGTACGATTCACGTAATAAATAAAGCGGGAGGCGCCACGTCGCTATTGAAAACCGCCGTAAATTTTCGAAGACAATCAAAAATTCGCCACGGAAAAAAATGCGAAAACATGTTCGCGGTATTTTTGCAGAGTCGCGACGTACATTTTCGTCATTATTTTGCCATTTGTCACGGCACCGAGTTTACAGAGCTTAGGCGAGCAGCTTTGCCCGGTTTTTATTAGGACGGTATATTTTGGAATGGCGCTAATTAATGAGCGGAAACAAGTCCGTTCGACTTATCGCCTATTATGGTTTGCATTTCGAGAAAAGTTCATTGATAAATGCTTAGTAAGTTGCATTTGCATTTGCATTTTACGATTCGTTATGCTGAGGTTACTAAGATGGTAAAAATGGCTTTGTTTTAAAATACTCTTGGTTAGTTTTGAGAAGCATTTTTTAAAAATTGTAAAACCCAGCAAGAGAAAATAGGGGTACACTTTAAAAAAATGTAGTAAAATAAGTTAATAAAGATTATACTGAAATAGAGAAAAAAAAAAGAATGCGGCGTGATACAAGAAAATGCTAAAATAGTGACGACTTTAAAATAAAAAGGAGAGAAGAAGCGCTCAAGAAAAAAATTATCAATAAAATAAAACAACGAAACAAGAAAACAATTACTAAAGCAGTTAATAGTATTAGTCTATATACAAAAAGTTGCAAGCATAAATAAAAAAGTGTGGGACAGACGAATGGGAAATACATTATTAAATAAGTTTAGAATTTTTCTGAGTGAGCTGAGTCAAGATTAAAACAAAAATTCGATCACTTATATAACTTACACTTTATATATCTATATTAGAAAGTATATTAAAAAATGTTGGAAAGGTATTAAGTAAGAGCAGCTGATGCATATTTACTCCAATAAGACCTCATCATTTTCAGAGTCCTTAAATTAGAATTCGTCGTCGTAGAGTTAAAATTTACTGTTTTTTGTTTTAGATACCTGAAAATTTGAGCATTTTCTTTAATGTAGATCCGACTTTCATAGTTTTGTGAATATCAATATACTGACTGTTAAAATAAAACCGGCGACTAACGATATTTGGATGACGTTGCCAATTGATTGTTGATAATAAAGTTAAACTTAACTGTAATTATTAACATTAGCAAACGCAAAAGTATGGGCTTAAGCATAGATTATAACTCTTCTTTTTAGAAAATGTCTGACTTTACAAGCAGTTTGCAGTGAAGTAATTGTAGCTCAGGGTTATAGAAAATTGTATCCCTTTCTACCTACCGTTCTACTGGTTGGTTAGTAGTCAATTACCGTAGTCTATTCTGGTTAGCTCTACATTATGTTACTCTGTACAACATTAGGGTTAATTTGGTTAGTTTGTACGACTCGGTAGTTCGTTCTGCACTGGGAGACTTTACCGACACAGAAATGAAAGTGGTAGTGAGTGAAGACGAGCGGGCATAACGGATCGAATGGTCTTCATGCAGTACCTTTGCCATAAAATTCAGGAACGCACAGTAAATAGAATAGAATTGGGTAGGACGAGTAATTCCTGTTGAATTTGAATATGATAATCCATTTTTTACTCTGTTCGAAGATACTGTGTCCATATTTCATAAATGCTTATATTTTATAGGATAACGACTTCTACAACAGCGGTTCGCAAGACTGAAACAGTTCCAAATATTATTACTTGCCATTTCCGACTCGCATTACAAAACGTCACTGAAGGACGCGGTCCGTCACATCGCAACGCGTAGATTCATTATTTCCTAGACTAACCCGCAAACGTAAATCATAATGCGCAGCAACAAAAATCAAGGCACCGCATTCATAAACTTCTACGAAAATGTGGGCGCTGCTAATATTTCGCTTGTACAATGTCAAATTGCAACTTTGCCGATGAATGAAAAAACAGCGCGACGACGTTGCCGGATTGACCAAAACGCCCCCGCAAAGGGATAAAGTGCCAATATGTATCGGGTTAAAAAACGTATAATATCGACGGTCGGCGTGGCTTTTTGCATGTGCAACGACGCTATTTTTAAATCGACGCAAAATTCCAAAGCCAAAACAAAAGCCCGGGAATTGTGTCCGCGCAAATTAAACGTTCAAAACAAAAGACGGGGGTCTGACATTGAAGCGAGGCATAAATACGGCGTCGCATTAAACCGCTACGGATAGAACGATATGGCAACAGCGGAACATCCATTAGCAACTATACGGCGGCGCCGCGAGCTCCCTTTCAAAATTAAAAATAGACGCCATGGAATT